GATCGTTGAATTAAAGTGTTCCCTCCTTCCTTCCCTGGCCTGGGTGTGTGCTCAGCTGTGACAGGGTGGGTGTCAGGGGGTGCACACCCCGGGCTGGCCCTTCTGACCCCAGTTTCTCCCTTTTCCTTGTGCCAGTGGATCAACGACACGATCCTGGTGCCGCTGGTGGAGGAGATGGAGTCGGTGAGCACCCAGCTGAGGAGGATGGGCTGTCCCGAGCTGCACATCGGAGGTGGGAACTCCAGGGCTGCTCCAGGAGTGCTGAATGGGGGCTACTCAAACACATGACATTCATCTGTAATACATTAAATCAGTCACTTCTGTCCCTTTGCTGCCCTTCTCTTGGTGTGGTCTTCGTTCCACCTCCCAGAAAGATTCCCCCTAAGACTCTTGGGAATACTGAGCTGGCACACAGACACTTGTGGAAAATGCAGCAATGGCTCTCTTTTTGTTTTTCTTTTCTTTTTTCCCCTTCTAAATTTACTTAAATATTTTTATACAATATATACATGTATTAAACATATAGATATACTTCATATATAAATAAATAAAATATGTGTAGTATATATTTATATATAAATATTAAACAGATGTGTTTCATATATAAATATATATAAAATATAATATAAATTCATATATAAATATATTACATGTATAGGTGCATTTCATATATAAATGTATGAACTGTAGAAATTAATGAAATATATAAATGCATTTCATATATAAATGCATGAACTATAGAGCTGTATTTCATATCTAAATATATGAAATATAGAAGTGTGTTTCACCTATCTATATGAAATATAGAAATCAGAACATATAAATAATGATATTATAAATATGATAATATTATGAATTCACCCAAATTATCATCAGTTATTGCCTGTTAATGTCAGAAAGCATTTGAGAGCTAAATGTGCCCTCAGTGTCTCCCTTTGCTCTCCATCTCCACTGCTGTGTCCTTTTCCCAGTCCTTCCTCCAGATCAGCAGCTTTCCAAGAAATCTGTGGGTTTAAAATCTGGGGGGGTTTTGCTTTTCCAGCCACAGCTTGAAGGAACCGCTTCCCTTACTCCAAATTTATGTCTCCTTAGCCCAGAGCTGGACCTGATGGGGTGCATTTCCACGAAATTCCCAGTTTCTGGGGGGTTTCTCACCGAGCTTTATCTCTGGAAAACTGGGATGCTGCTCTCATTCCCACTTTGTCCCTCCCCTTTTTCTGCTCCTGATGTTGCTCCTCTCCATGGGGGTTCCTCGCAGCTTTGGAATTCTGTAGAGGAGGCTTGGTTGTCACTGGGATGGCTGTGGGGGGTGGGGTCAGATCCCAGGTGATCCCAGCACATTCCTGGAGCTCCCTGGTGATCCCTGTGTCCCTGCATTCCAGAGGCCAGCATCAGCAGCCTGAAGCAGGCGGCCCTGGTGAAGGCTCCTCTCATCCCAACCCTGAACGCCCTGGTGCAGTACCTGGATCTCACCCCAAACCAGGAATACCTGGTGGAAAGGATCAGAGGTATGTGCTGTCCTCACCCCAAACCATTCCAGCCTGGATCCCACCCCAAACCAGGAATACCTGGTGGAAAGGCTCAGAGGGACGTGCTGTCCTCACCCCAAACCATTCCACACCCAGCCATTGGAAGTGTCCCTCTCAGTGGAAGGGCCCATGGCAGGGGCTTGGAACTGGGTGATCTTTGGGGCCCCTTTCCAACCCAAACCATTCCAGGATTCCACAATTTCCTGCATGCTCAGGGTGCCAAGTGCTGGGCTAAAAAGTGCTGGGTTAAAAAGTGCTGGACTAAAAAGTGCTGGACAAAAAAGTGCTGGACTAAAAAGTGCTGGACTAAAAAGTGCTGGGTTAAAATGTCCTGGATTAAACCCCCTCACGGCCAAACCCCACCCTTGTAGTTTTCCCTCCCTGCCCCAATCCCCTCCCAGCCATTCCCTGGGTTGAGTCATTCCTACTTGGACACCAGAAACGTGCATTAAACCTTCCAAACGGGTTGGAATCTCCTTTACCCACCCTGGATCCCAACAGTCTGCCCCGCTGTTGCTTGCAGAGCTGTCCCAGGGGGGCTGCATGAGCTCCTTCCGCTGGAACGCCGGGGGGGACTTCAAGGGCCGCAAGTGGGACACGGACCTGCCCACGGACTCGGCGGTGAGATCCCACACACACCGGGATATCGGGGCTGGGAGCTGCTGGGGTGTGGGGACAGGCTTTGGAAGGAGCAGCCAGGGGGGCTCTGGGGAGTGTGGGGAAGTGGGAACAGCAGAGGAGCTGACTGGGTGAGCTTTGAGGTCCCTTCCAAGCTGAAACAGGGAAAGTGGGGAAAAACGGGCCCTGGGAATGTCAGGGGAACTGGGATCCACCGGGATCCTGCCCTGGGATCCACTGGGATCCTCGGGGGTTTGTCCCCAGCATCCAGAGATGGAACCAGTGCTGCTTCAGGGCCTCGAGCCTGACCTGATTCTGGGGGAAAGAAATGGGGAAAATGGGAAAAGGGGCTCCCTGGGATCACGGGGGGCTCCCTGGGAATGGGGTCTGGGATCCACGGGAACCCTCAGGTTCCCACAGGAGCACTGGGATGTGGGAACGGTGCCACTTCACCTGCCAGGTCAGGGCCTTGATCCAGTCCTGCTTCTGGGGGAAAAACATGGAAAAATGGGGAAAAAACAGTGTCAGGGAGCCCTGGGAATGTGGTGGGAACCAGGGAAAACTGGGATCCTCCTCCAGGATTCATCCCCAGCACATGGATGTGACACTGGTGCCACTTCAGGGCCTCGATCCTGACCTGATTGTGGGGGGGAAATGGGAAAAGGGGCTCCCTGGGATCACAGGGGGATCCTTGGGAATGGGGTCAGGGATCCACGGGACCCCTCAGCATGGAGTTCTGCTCCCCCTGCCAAGTCAGGGCCTCGATCCCGACTTGATTGTGGGGGGGAAATGGGAAAAGGGGCTCCCTGGGATCATGGAGGGGATCCCTGGGAATAGGGTCAGGGTTTGGGGTGTGCAGAGCTGGGTTTTGGGTTCCTGCTCGGTGCTTTATTCCCAGAGCTGTTCCAAGCCCTGGGTTAAGCCAGGGTGTCAGGCCCAGCCTGGCCCCGCTGTGCTGGACTCCTGGGCACCTTTTGGGGCCGTCCCAGTGAGCTGTGGGTCCGTCCCCAGATCCTCATGCACGTGTTCTGCACCTACCTGGACTCGCGGCTCCCACCCCACCCCAAGTACCCCGACGGCAAAACCTTCACTTCCCAGCACTTCATCCAGAGCCCGGACAAGCCAGGTACTGCCCTGCCCTGGGAACGGGGAAAGATGCCCTTTTCCATCTGGGATCACCCCAGAGTCCCTAAATGTGCCCCTGTTGTTGGCAGACACCTCCAACGAGAACCTGTTCTGCATCTACCAGAGCAGCATCAACCCGCCCCACTACGAGCTCATCTACGAGTGCCACGTCTACAGCCTGCCCAAGGTACAGGGGAATTCCCTGCTCTGGGGATCCCCTCCTGCTCAATTAAACTGAAATTTAAACACAATTTAGAATTTTTTAACCCAAGTGCCCCAATCCCTGATTTGTTGCTTTTCTGCTAATTTATTCTAAAATCAGATTTTTTTTTTCAAACCCAGTCCCCCAGTCCCTGATTTGTTGGGTTTTTCAGCCAGTTTATTGTAAAATTCCCATTTTTTAAACACCAAATGCCCCAGTCCCTGATGTGCAGTTGGTTTGCTGCCAATTTATTGTAAATTAAACTGAAATTTAAACATAATTTAGAATTTTTTTAACCCAAACTCCCCAATCCCTGATTCGTTGTCACCCCTTGAGGCCCCCAAACCTGGTCCATGAGAATTCCCGGGGGGAAGCTCCAAGCTGGCCAAAGTCCGTGCTGTAATTCCTGGTTTTCCATTCCTTCCTTTCTCCTGCGGATCCAGGGCAGGAACAACATGTTCCACACCCTGCTCATGTTCCTCTACATCATCAAGAGCAAGGAATCTGGGATGCTGGGGTAGGTGCTGGGAAAAGGTGGGATGGGCTGGGAAAAAAGGGGGAATGGCACTGGGGGGATCAGGAATGAGGTTATTATGGGGGTTAAATCACCTTAATAATGGGGTTAAATCACCTTAATAATGGGGATTAAACCAGTTTATTAATGGGGTTAAACCACCTTATTAATGGGGTTTCAAGCCCCTTCTGGGGGGATAAACCAGGAGCTCTCCCCTCACACATCTCCTTCCCTCCCTTTGTGCTTTCCAGGCGTGTCAATCTGGGCCTGTCGGGCGTCAACATCCTGTGGATCTTCGGGGACTGAGGGCCCTGCTGGGACCATCTCCCTGCTGATTAAACTCGAGCTCAGCTTTGCTCCCAGAGGGTCTGTGATTCCTGCAGGGATCCATCTCCTGCCCAGGCTCCTCATGAAATGTTTCCCCTGCGAGGGCTCTGGGAATGAGCCCCAGGCAGGGCTCTCCTTCCTGCTCTGAGGGGGCTCCTCCTGACCTGAGGGGCCACTTTAAACTGAGCTTAGCTGAGTCAAACTGAGTTTAACTGAGTCAAACTGAGCTAAACTGAGTTTAACTGAGCCAGCCTGAACCTGGGAGGGCTCAGCCAGAGCAGCCTCCCGTGGGTTGGGCACAGCCACGGATGATCCAAGCCAGGGGAGGGCCCAGGGAGCTCCAGGATCCAGGAGACCCCCTCTGGGCACGAGGAAATCCCGATCAGGGCATTCAGACCCGGCTTTGCTTCCTTTGATGCCAAACCCCCCCAGCTTCTGATCCTGAGAGTTGGTGTGATCGTGTCTCTGACCCCACAGGGGCTGCTGTCAATGGAGCAGAAACCCAGGATTGACTCAGCAAATCACACTTTTTACTCACATTTGG